GAAAGGTTGAGCGAGCGACCGGCGAGCGAGCAAAAATTTGCATAAGTCTCGTTTTCGCTCTCTCTTTCCCCGTGACCCGCGGCGGGATTGTGTTAGAAGTTCACGTTAAGGCACGCTTACATCGCGCGCGCGATTTCTCCGGGATGCGCGATGATTTGCAGCTTGAAGCTGGGAGAAAATCGACAAAGAGACTCTTGAAATTCGCGCGCGACGTATGAATGTTTCCGTCACGTGAGACACGACACGTGTGCTCGTTAATCTCGCATTAAATAGGCAGTCTGCACGGAGAGAATATCGCAGTCTTCTTCATTTTCATATATAAATTCTTTTCAACTTTACCATATATATGTTTTCAGTACTCCGCAAAGATAGACTGTCAGTAATGCCTGCCTCGCTACAGAAGGAACGTGATAAATTTCGCTAGAAACGTGGCGAGCGTTCTAATGGCACATTTCAGTTTCTGGAATCTAAGTAACGCATGTGAAATGAAAGGATAGAACGAATCACTGCAGAATGCCGGTCTATTCCTACACAGAGAGAACGATTTGGTTGAATCGAACAAACATTTCTTTGGAATGATCCAAACGAATTTTTCGATTCATCGAACAAAGTTTGGTCTGACGCAACAAAGATATTTATTTGTGACTTAGTTCCAAAGAAATATTTCTGTTGTGTCAACCAAAAAATTTGTTCTGTCCCAAACTATCTCAAAGAAACGTTTATTTCATTCAACAAATCGTTCTCTCTGTGTAGGTTAAATCCTGTGTATAAAATCCTATAGCAATTTTTGCCACAAATTCTCCCCGTGTGGACAATTATTTCCAGGTGTACTTCGATGCATGCACTGAGAGAAGAATTTAATAAATATTATCAAAATTTGGTTACTATTACTAAATGGTAGACGTAAATATAGCGGGCCAAAGCTATGGCAATACTTATTAATTAATTTAGTTCTGTAAAATAAATTATTTATTTGCCAGAAGAAACATTTATTTGCTTCCAGAATATATTTGGTAAATAAAACTTATTAAAATATTATCAAAATATTATCAAAATTTGGTTACTATTACTAAATGGTAGACGTAAATCTATGGCAATACTTATTAATTAATTTAGTTCTGTAAAATAAATTATTTATTTCACAGAAGTAAAATTTATTTGCTTCCAGAATATATTTGGTAAATAAAACTTATTGGATAGTTGAGCAAAATAAGCGATTTTGTAGTAGTTACAAAATTTTTGGTAGATTCAACCAACCATCTGTAATAATAGATATTGAAACGATGTAATAGCTGCAAATGAATGAATTTTTCGTTGTGCTGCAACAAAACATACTTATACTGGTAACAAAATAGAACTCGTACCTACTGAATTTTTTATTATATGGGATATAACGATTTCATAACAATTATCAAATATCTGTTCATAACTGTAATATATTTCATATTAAATATTTAACATTAAGTAACTATTACTGAATTATTTAATTAATGTTACTGTAAATGCAATTACGTCATACTCCCGATCTATTAAATATTTGGTAATTATTATCATATTTAGTATTAGTTACTAAGGATTCAATGAATTTCTGTAACTAAATGCAATTTATTATAGTTACCAGTCTTTTCTCTTATATAATCTTATATCCCATATAATAAAAGATTCAGTAGGTACGAGTTCTATTTTGTTACCAGTATAAGTATGTTTTGTTGCAGCACAACGAAAAATTCATTCATTTGCAGCTATTACATCGTTTCAATATCTATTATTACAGATGGTTGGTTGAATCTACCAAACATTTTGTAACTATTACAAAATCGCTTATTTTGCTCAACTATTCAATAAGTTTTATTTACCAAATATATTCTGGAAGCAAATAAATTTTTCTTCTGGCAAATAAATAATTTATTTCATAACAATTATCAAATATCTGTTCATAACTATAATATATTTCATATTAAATATTTAATATTAAGTAACTATTACTAAATTATTTAATTGATGTTACTGTGAATGCAATTACGTCATACTCCCGATATATTAAATATTTGGTAATTATTATCATATTTAGTATTAGTTACTAAGGATTCAATGAATTTCTGTAACTAAATGCAGTTTGTTATAGTTACCAGTCTTTTCTCTCAGTGTGTCGCGAGACATGCATTCACGAGAGAAATCCGAACGTGACGCGCGAATCGCCGCGTTCGATCTTCGACTGGAACAGCAATTATCGGAAGAAATTTCACTTATAGGTTTGCTACATATCTCACGTTGTCTCCGTAGATGTTAATTACGGCGTCTCGGTTAATTCGCCGGATAAGATAACTCCGGTTATCGCGCACGCACGCACGCAGTCGGCGAAATCACCCCGTCACTCGTGAATTCGCGTCGCCACCCGCGCTCGACTCTAAACTCACGCCTTATTATGCGACCTTACCCGGAGGGCAGCGCGAGATGCATGCACACGTGCATAAGTGAAAGGTAGGGTGGTAACACGCAGATTTATCTGCGGCGCGTTGCACAGTTCCACGTTGCGCCGGCGCGCACGATCAGATATGAAAAGCACAGAATAGCGCCCGGTTCGTGCCCTTTCGTCGCGCGTTCTTTGACCGTTGCCCCGTTGACCTTTGCATTGTCGGCTGATAAAAGGAGGTGTCTGAATTAGAAGGAGAAGAGGAGGAAAATGCGCACGGTGAAGAGATAATGCCGGATAACGTGCACGTAACGACAAAACCGCGCGCGACAACGAGAGCCTCCCGACGTCCGAAAGGAGAAATTCAAGGGTGCTCCGCAAGAGAAACGATACCATCGCGCTTCGTATCGCTGAAAGAGAAATCAGGATCGCTTCTGATCTTTGAGAAACATGCGAAACAGCACTCGAAAAGAATCGCGTTCCCTCGCGAAAACGTAATATGCAGATCAGGATATTCTGGGTCGCGGGAATAATTTCTCTCTGTTTTCTTTTGATTTTAACTTTTTCATTTCATTTTCTTTTATATACCTTTAATGGAAGCGAGAGTTGAGGTAACCGCGATTAAGCGTAATAACATATCGGTAATGTGGATTTACACAGATTGTCCGGCGATAGCATATAAAATTTTCGTGTAGATTAGGTCAAAAGTGAACAAAATATTCTTCTGCCATCGCGCAGACGAGCACGCACAGTTTCGAGTTATCAATTAAGAATACTCATCAAGGAGATTGACGAGTGATTACGCGCGATATGGCAGATAAGCTGTGATGGCAACATCTGCTGTCCTGTGCTTGTACATTAGATCAAACTGAACATACAAATCCTCCATTATTTTGTAATAATCACATAGAGAGTTGAAAATTGACGAACGATTGCGCGCAATCATTTCACTAATGTATATTTTTTTTACATTTATATTATGTGTATTTCTATATATTTCCAGCGTTTTTATAACTTTTTGTCCATTAAGGCTCCTGGCTCTTCGCATTGTCTACCTCTTCTTAATGACGTCAGAAGCGAGAAAATGCATGCTAAAAATTCTTGCGAAATACGTTATAATAAAAATATATATCCATAAAGTAACTCGCAATCGCTCAAATAAATTTGTAAGATATTCAAATAAATTTGTAAGATATACACTTTTGCTCTAACAACCAACAATTTATTGTAAATTAACCTGAATACAATGAAATAGGACAAGAAATAGGTTAAAAAGATTGTATGTCACGTTAATTTACGAATAAATTATTGATTGTGAAAGCAAAAGGGAAGTACACGGAATATCGTACAAATTTGTTTAATCGGTTGCAAGTGTTATTTTACCGATATACATTTTTATTTCAACGTATTTCGCAAGAATTTGTAACATACATTTTCTTACTTCTGACGTCATTAAAGATAAACAATACGAGGAGCTAGAAGCCTTAAATCGAGTAAATTTAAAAAGAATTTTGATTTAAGACTCCTGGCCCCTCGCATCGTCTATCTCTTTTACGAAATACGTTGAAATAAAAATATATATCCATAAAGTAACACTTGCAATCGATCAAATAAATTTGTAAGATATTCCTTACACTTTCCTTTTGCTCTAACAATCAATTTGTCGTAAATTAACATGACATACAATTCATTTTCTTACCTATTTCTTCGCCTATTTTTATTCAAGTTAATTTACAATAAATTATTGACTGTTAGAGCAGAAGGGAAGTGCACGGAATATCGTACAAATTTGTTTAATCGGTTGCAAGTGTTATTTTACCGATATACATTTTTATTTCAACGTATTTCGCAAGAATTTTTAACATACATTTTCTTACTTCTGATGTCATTAAAGAGATAAACAATACGTAGGGCTAGAAGCCTTAAATCGAGTAAATTTAAAAAGAATTATGACTTAAGACTCCTGGCCCCTCGCATCGTCTATCTCTTTTACGAAATACGTTGAAATAAAAATATATGTCCATAAAGTAACACTTGCAATCGATCAAATAAATTTGTAAGATATTCCTTACACTTTCCTTTTGCTCTAACAATTAGTTTGTCATAAATTGACATGACATACAATTCATCTTCTTACCTATTTCTTCGCTTATTTTTACTATTTTTATTTCATTTTCTCGTTTCTGACGTCATTAAAAAAGTGACAGACAATGCGAGGGGCCTTAATGTTTGATAATCGGGTGATCTCTCGCGCAGATAAATCGCAACATCTGGAGTGGCCCCGCACTACGACTCGCCCCTCTCCCCAGCTCCGGCAAAAAGGAACAAATTACACGCATGGTATAATATAATCGTTTGCTTAACCCGTGCGACACGGCGCATCGCGCTCGATAAGCGTGTTTATACGCCATTATGTAACTACGAGGCATTATCGCCTTCTCGGTACGGCGCGGATCGAGTGTGCGCGCGTGTGTGGGCGATTCTTCTCAACAATGTCTCTCTCTAACGGCAACGTCTCTCGCATTTTCCGATGCTGATGATCTCACGCGCGTGACGCCACCCAGAAAATCCACCGTCGATCGCCGGTTTTTTTCTCGTTTTTTTTTTTCTTCTTTTTTCTTATCCTCACTTCCGGAACTGCATACGGCTTTGCCGGAGGCTCTCGTCGGGCAACGAGGCGTTTATCACCGGTATTCATAGTCCGGCCTTGTATTTGAAAAAGTTTGATCGTATTCAAGATTGTCATAAGTTTGCACCTTTACACTGCGAGAAGAAAATTCCTGAAAAATGTAACGCATTTATTTGGTGGGTACTAATAACATACATTTACTTGAATCTTTTACTTAAACAGAATAAACAGTTTCTTCCGTGAAAAGCCAAGGTTTTAAGAAAATGTATATTTTTTCTGTATTATTTGGAAAACTTTTTTTTTTCATATTAGTATGAGATTATTATTACCAACCGAATAAATATATTTTCTCTTATTTCTTACATATTTTTTCTTTCATTGTAGAAGCGTTGCAGCGAATCAAATAATTTGCAGTGTATTTGAAGATAAACTTAAGACAATCTCAAATATAATATTTGACTATAAATACCGCTCTATACAATGAGAAAAAAATCTAAGAAAAGGTAAATAGTTATTCAGCGGATACTAAGATAAGGTATATGCTTATAAATAACAAATTATTTTTCAAATAAGAAAATCTGCATTTTCTTAATTTAAAATCTTGAGAAAATCGTAGCTTTTCATGAAATTGATTGTCTGAAAAACTTAGATTTAAAAGTAATTATGTTATCGTAAAAGTGTCGCGAAAAATGCCGCGAAAAGTGCCGCGAAAAGTGCCGCCAAAAGTGTCACCAAAAGTATCCCTAAGAGTATCGCAAAGAGTATCACACTTCGCAACTGTTAAACTATTATATACATTAAAAATATAACCTCGTTATAACCCCATTCTCGTACGCGTCATTCGACTCTGCCGCGATGACAGTTACAAGTCGATAAATCGGTAATCGCAACACTCTAGCCATCCCGCCATCTAACGGAGAAGATATGTAATGGAGAATTTCTGTGGTGAGGAGACATTTCTCACACGTAAATTCACAATTTCAAACTTTGAGCTAAGATAGCTCAGTTTCTGGAGCACATAGAGCAAAAATAATGACAGTTTTATGATATAATATAAACCCAAGGAATCGACTAAATCCCTCCAGAACTTCGTCAATTCAATCGTTATAGCCGAAACGAAAATCTAGCCTACATTCAACTAAAAACCGTCGCATAATTATATATATATATACGGTAGGCCGCCATGCTTCGCGACACTACCGTGTCGCTTGATCTGCACGAGATGTACCTTACATCTCGTTTACTACTTTACTGAAAATTGACCAAAAAAGCAAAGCAAGTATATACGAACCTTAAGAACGTGGAATTCACGAAACTGAAATTCAAAACTGAAAAATTACCAAAAAAACGAAGAAGTATACATGATTTCGATCGGAATAACTTTGGTAAATTCATTTATTTTCCTGCAAGACAGAAATTTGGCATCTCAAACGAGACGCGATTCAGCTCGACGACGGACGATCTGACGATGATCGAAGACACGCTTAATTTAGCGGCTTACTTGCAGAATAAAACTCGCGTTTTTGCGGTTTGTCTCTACACCACTTTTACGGGGAAAAAATGGGAACGGAGGGGAAGCGAAAAGCGGAACGCTCTCCACGTGGAATATCGCGCTGAATTTTTTCTTCATTTTGCGGAGCGGAGTAAACGATCGGCCGACCAAGCTCCACCGCGAATCGTTGTTCGTTGATCGGCTCGTTGATCGGTTGAATCGGTTCCCTCGACGAAATCCGTCTTCATTCCTCGCGGCAATTTTTCAATCCTCAATGCGGTTTCCTTGATATTTTTGAGGCTGTCGCATTATCCCGAATCGAAATTTTTACCCTATGTTGAACCTTGAATTCTACACCGCAATAGGAACTAAGATAGCAAAGTAGGTTTAATTCTAATGATATAATTTACACCTACTTTGATCCTGATGATGATAGAAATTTCCGTTTTCGCTTTCTTTAGCAAAGTAGATTGTGATAGTAGGATCTTAGGAAGCAAAGTAGATTCAACTGCGAATCTCTATTTAAGCTTTAGCTTCTACATAGAATATATATATTTTATAGAAATATTTAAAAAATTTAATAAATAACGAAAGAAACGTCAAATAGCATACAAAGTAGGTTCAGTTGCGAATCTCTATTTAAGCTTTAGCTTCTACATAGAATATATATATTTTATAGAAATATTTAAAAAATTTAATAAATAACGAAAGAACGTCAAATAGCATACAAAATGTATATTTTATTTGTTGCATATATTTCAGATATCAGGATCAAAGTAAGAATAAATTATATCATTAGAATTAAACTTACTTTGCTACCTTAGCTCCTACTGTGGTATAGAATTCAAGATTCAACATAGGGTCTAAATTTCGACTCGGAAATGAGTGTCAATATCGTCAAAATAGGTTTCACCTAGGTTGTAGATTATCTAAGTAGGCTTAAATTTATTTTTAAGAGCGTCAAAATTTTGATAAGGTAGAACTAAAGGTTCAAAAGAGAAATTAATGAGTATCAATATCGTCAAAGTAGGTTTTACTTAGTCTAACCGTCTAAGTAGGCGCAAAATATCCTTAAGACCATCAAAGTAGCATCAAAATTTCGACTCGGGATTATTTCCCAGCTCGACGAAGGTCGTCGCTGCCTAGTTTAGCGACCAATTACTCCCCTCGCTCTTCCCGATATGTGCAGCGCAAAAAGCGGAATTCAAGCGCCAACTTATTTCCCCGATAACGATCGACACGTGATGATCGAGAAGACGAGTGGATCATTTCTTCTTCCTTCTTTTTACCTTCACTTCTAGAGTGAATATTCGCGTCGCACGGGTTTCGCCTCTGTCTCCCTCTTTTCTCGCTCGTGTCTCGAAATCGCGAACTCACGGTAATTAGCCGCGGATCAAATTGCCGCGTCGCTTTCACCAAGGACACCGACGATACCCGGCGCGTTCGGGAAACAGGAAAGCCGCTCGCTGGAAATCGTTTTCTAGCTCTCACCCCGTCCCCCACCCATCGTCCCTCCCGCAACTCGTTCCGTAACACACGTCCGTGCTGAATTTCTAAGGAGGAGACGGCCGGGCTTCGCGAAAGAAAAGAAGACATACACACACACACACACACAGCTCTTAGCGGCCCCACGCGCCGCCGCGCTCCGTATACGCTAATTACAGTGTCGAGTGTAATTACCGATACCGTTTCCATCGCGCACATACGAATACAGCACATAATTGTGCGGGAGGAACAACTGCGGGAAGGAGAGGAAGGAAACGGGACCGATACGCGGAGAGGAGACGCGCGACTTCCGGGCGAGCCTCGTCGTCGTCGTCGTCGTCGTCGCAGATAATTCGTGTCGCGAAACACGCGGAGGTCATCTCGGTGGGTGTCGCGTCGCGAAAATTTGCGCACAGCCGCGACGAATCGAGGCCGCTTGCACGCACTTCCGCTATTTTGCGACCCGTCAAGTGGCCGCGCGATTCAGCGTCGCTTGACCCTAAACCGCATTAAGCTGGGTCCGCCGGCTCAGGGAGAGGAAATATTGTGGGAGAAATTACGTTGAACCTCTCTTTGTAATGTTTTCTACAAAGCTAGGCTATACTGAAGTTGGAGCGTTAATTACTGTAGAAATGTATTAAGGGGTAACTTTAGCGTCCGAAAATTAAGTATTTTTGGGATTTTTTTGTGGGCAAACAAAGAAATGAATCGAAAATCCGTTTGAAAGGCTTTATTGTACATGTTTTATAGTGTGTATTTGAATTTTTATGTTAACATATGTTACAAAATGGCGGCGCTAGAGCCTCGTCGACATGGGCGTGCTTTTCTAGGTGCTAGCAGCATAAGTGTTGCAAATATTAATCTAGAACAAAAAAGTACGTAGGAGATTTTTTAAATATTTATTTTTATAGAAATGGCACACATTTGAAGAAAAAGTTTCATTTTGTACCCTAAACATTTTGTCGAACATTGTTTATAAAATGCGTAATTTTCAATATATCAAAAATTCCTTACGTACTTCTCTAGTTATTGGCATGTAGATGGCAGAGAATTTTATTTTTTTGTTCTAGATCAACATTTGCGATACTTGTGCCGCTACACTGAGGGAAAAATTACTTTAAAATCAACAAATATTTCTTTGATGAATCCATTAACATATTTATTTAAATCTAAATTCTCTTTATTTAAACCAAATATTGTTTACTTAAATCAGGTAAACAATATTTGATTTGAATAAAGAGAATTTCGATTTAAGTTAATATGTTAATGGCATTCATCAAAGAGATATTTGTTGATTTTAAGGTAATTTTTCCCTCAGTGTAGCCCCTAGAGAAGCACTCTCATGTTGACAAGGTTCTAGCGCCGCCATTTTGTAATTTATGTTAACATAAAAATTTAAATATATACTTAATTATATACTTAATTAAATATATACTTAATTATATACTTTAAAAGATGTACAATAAAGCCTTCCAAGCGGATTTTCGCTTCATTTCTTTGTTTACCCACAAAAAATTCCCAAAAATACGCTTAATTTTCGGATGTTAAAGTGATTTTATCTCTTAATAATGTATTCTCTTTACTGAGAGAAAATATTTAGTATTTGTAACTATAATCATACAATAATTACTAATTAAATTTTTTAGTCAATTGTACTGTAATTGTTAATGATAATAATGTTACTATCTTCGTGTTGAAACAACCAAAAAGTATGTTTGGGCTCAAGATTACAAAAATTATGTTGTAATTTTCACCACGATATTTTCTCCGTGCATCAAAGTGGCTCTATAAATATAATCATTTTCTCGAATTATGAAATTTTCTCTTTAACAAGTTTGATTAAAGTTAGAGGTGTAATTTCGCGAAGTCGCGCGAGGTTCATTTCAAGTTCAATTCGACGGAGCGACTTAACGAGCGCGTAATTTCCGAGAGATGCTGCGGGAGACGCGTATTATATCGAGAAATATCTCGCGCAAGGACGTAATTCCATCCTTAATTATACCTGAACATTGTGATCGCATGTCGATCCACTTAATCTGACCGCGAGGCCTGTATCTCGCGCACTTAATTATGCCTTAATGCATCGCGTCGCGCGCTAATTAAGGGTTGCGCGATATATTCCGCCGACTGTAATTTCTTATTCATTTCCAGCGGAAACGCATCGATCGATTCGG